CTCTGGCTTGGAGGCGCCTAACCATGCAGGGGAACACTTAGATGGTGCTGAGTCACTTCACTGCATCAGCACAGCACGGCTGTGTTCTGGCAAGGCAGGCTGGCACCCAGGAAGCCACCCCCCCCCACCACCACCATGGCCTACCATTCATGACCCAAGACCTTCCTCCCACCAGGTCCCGAGAGGCACCTGCAGCAACTGTGGCCACTGGCGCCTGTTTGTCAAGAAGTAGAAGCCCAAGTTAGGATCCCCAGCAGGTCTGGTAATTTGGGGAGAACCTCTGGAGAATTCCAGCCTTGTAAAGGTCTCAGCATGCTGAGGTCAGATTCAAGCAAGCAGAGAAACTTTGTAAGTGCGTACCGAGAGTGAAGTTAGGGCTTTATATCAGCTGTATTTAGACCATCTTCCTGGCTTCCCTACTCCCTTTCACTACTTAACTCCTGTCTCATATTGCCTCTATCTTTCTCCCAGAGCTGCTGTCCCTCTTGTGGCCCACCTGTCCTAAACTGGCACGTCCAGTGCTCAGACCAGAAACACCGGTGTCCCCCTGGTTCTTGCCCATTCAGTTCCATTCAGGCCCAGCTCTGCGAGCACATCCTGGCCCATTCCTGGGCCTTTGTCTTCCTTCCCAGTGCCATTCTCTTGTCTGTCTTGTTTCTGGGCTGCTTCCTTCTAACCCATCCTCCCCACTGCTGTCAGGGTACATCCATAATGGAGATGTGGGTCAGTTGTTCCTCTGCCTGGGGGTCCTCAAAGACAGTGGCCTTTGGCTGAAGGAGAGCCACCTGGTCTCACATTTCACATCACCCGCCATTTTCACTCTGCCACCTCTTGTCAGTTTCAGTTCCACTAGATGACTGGCAGTTTTCTGTCGAGATCATGAATATAAAATTCCTATAAAATATTTACTTTGTTATTTATTTAAAGGCAGAGTTACAGAGAAAAGGGGAGACAGAGAGAGAGAGTGAGGTCTTCCATCCACTGCTTTACTCCCCAAATGGACTCAATAGTCAAGGCTGGGCCAGGTGGAATCTAGCAATCAAACTCCCTTCAGGTCTCCTGCATGGGTACAGGGTCCCAAGGACGTTGGGTAATAATCTGTTGCTTTTCCAGGCCGTTATCAGGGAGCTGGACTGAAAGTAGAACAGCCAGGTCTTGAACCAGCATAACCAGCATATGGCATAACAAGCAGTGACTTAGCTCACTGAGCCACAGTGCTTGCCCCAAGATCATGATCTTTATAAAGACTTACTTTCTTTCTTCCCTCTTCTAACTTCATTTTTCTTTTAATTATTTTTTAGAAGATTTATTTATTTTTAGGGCGGTAGCCTAGTGGCTAAAGTCCTTGCCTTACACATATCAGGATCCCATATGGGCGCTCGTTGGTATCCCGGCTGTTCCGCCTTTTATCTGTCTCCCGGAAGAAGCACCAGGCCTCTGGCTTTGGATCAGCTCAGCTTTGGCCATTTTGGTCACTTGGGGAGTGAACCAATGAATGGAAGATCTTTCTGTCTCTCCTTCTCTGTATATCTGCCTTTAATACATACATACATACATACATACATAAAAAGATTCATTTATTTCTACTTGAAATAGTTAAAGAAAGGAGAGACAGAGAAAGGGATATATCTTCCATGCACTGGCTCACTCACCGAGTGTTCCTGCTGGCTAGAGCTGGTCAAGTCCAAAGCCGAGAGCCCGGAGCTTCTTCCAGGTTCCCCCACATGGGTTCATGGATTGAAGGCCTTAGGCCATCCTCCATTGCTTTTCCAGGCCATCAGAAAGAAGCTTGATCAAAAGTAGAGCAGCTGGAACTTGAACCAGCAACACACAAATGGGATGCTGGTGCAACAGGCAAAGGATTAGCTTGCTGTAACACAGCACCAGTCCCTCTTTTAATTCTTTAAAAAATTTCGTTTTTTTTTTTTTTTATTTTTCCAAATTATTAATTTGTTTGAAAGAGAGGCACTACTTCACCACCCATACCTGCAACAGCTGGGGCTGGACTGCAAAAACCAAAAGCTGGAAACTTAATCTAAGTCTCCCATGTGAGTAGCAGGAATCCAACTACCTGAGCCGTTCTTAACCTGTTGCCTTCCAGGGTACACATTAGCAGGAACATCAGCGTCCCAAGTGGGGTTTACTTCCAAATGGCTGCAATGGCTGGAGCTGAGTGGATCCAAAACCAGAAGCAAAGAGCTTCTTCCAGGTCTCCCATGTGGGTTCAGTGACCCAAGTATTTGAACCATCCTCTTGCTTTCCCAGACCATAAACAGGGAGCTGGATGGAAAGTAGAGCAGCCAGGACATGAACCGGCACCCATATGCAATGCTGGATCTTGCAGATGTAGGGTTAGTCGGTTGAGCCATCACATCGACCTCCAAAAAACCCTTTTCTGACCTAAGTCTGTGCTTGATTACCCTGCTTGCACCCCGCTTACACCTTTATCTCACCTTCAGTCAAAGTGAAAAATATAAATAGAGCATTCTGAGGAGGTGTGAAAAGCTTTTTTTTCTCTTAATTTTCTTGATTCCATGGGAGTAAACACACATTGTCTTTTTGCAGCCAACAAAGTTTATTTTACATTTTGAAAACTAAGAAGTGAAGGACAAACTGTGGCTCAGAGGAACACACACCCCTTGGGGTGCCCACATGCCATACTGGGATGCCCAGATACGAGTCCCAGTTCTGCTTCTGATTCCAGCTGCTCGTGAACGTGCCCCTTGGGAGGCAACCGTGATGGCTTCATCCTGGCCCAGAACTGACTGTACTAGCGTTTAGGGAGTAAACTAGTAGATAGGAGATGTTCCAAATGAAAAAGAAGTTGAAGACAGGGCACCTGCGTTAATCCAATGTTACATTCAAGGATTCGAACACCCACTTTTGGAGATCGACACAGCCTGTCCCTGGCAGCTTTCCTTTCTACAAACTGCACATCGCATCTGTAGACAAAACCCAGCGCAGCCCACGGCCACGGCCATGAGTTATGGCAGGGTGGGAATCGTTACCTTGAGCTTCTCTGCCCCTGGGTGTTTAACTTCTCCAAGTTAATGCCTCTTCCTGAGCATTACATTATCTCGTTGCAAAGTAGTCATTTATAATGTATATACCGTGTGCTGCCTTAAAATAGACAAAAGGATAATCAGCATCCTGAAGCTTCTGGTTTTCCAAAATAACATTTCTTCAGTGAAGTCTGCCTGTAGGAATTAAAACCTGCCCATGAATTAAAAAAAAAAGTCATCTGTCTTATCATCAGACAGGGAAATGGATGTGCCTATTATGCAGCTGAACACTAGGGGCAAGAAGATCATATATTGAAAATAAAACTCATCAGTTTCTTTTATCCCACTCGTTGCAGTTAGAATGGAGAGGAGAGGTAGATGAGGCTGAAGTCTGCTGTCCCTTTTTCTATCTGGGTCACCGTGTTGCACGACTTTTACCACCATCAGAAGAAAAGGGATCCCTGTTGAGTGTTTTATGGAGAGCACCCTGTTCATTCACATTAGTTAAAAATAAAAGGACTGGGGGGCCCGGCGCCGTGGCCTAGAGGCTAAAGTCCTCACCTTGAATGCGTTGGGATCCCATATGGGCGCCGGTTTTAATCCCAGCAGCTCCACTTCCCATCCAGCTCCCTGCTTGTGGCCTGCGAGGGCAGTCAAGGACTGCCCAAAGCCTTGGGACTCTGCACCTGCGTGGGAGACCCGGAAAGAAGCTGCTGGCTCCTAGCTTTGGATCAGCACAGCACTGGCTGTTGTGTCACTTGGTGATGAATCATCGGACAGAAGATCTTCCTCTCTGTCTCTCCTCCTCTCTGTATATCTGACTTTGCAATGAAAAAAAAGAATAAATCTTTAACAACGACAAAAAAAAAATATAATAAGGACTGTTTGGAAACTTCCCAGGAGAATGATGTTTTAGCAAAAACTAATCAGATACCAGTGGTGGGACTTAATTTTCCACACGTCTCACCTTGTAGAACAAGTCCTTTGTTCCTTGACAGTGTGTGTCTTCCAGGTGCCAGGACCTCGGGTGGCATTGCTAGTGAGGCGAGGAAAAAGGACAGTTAACTCCTGCAGCTCCTCCTACATCTGGGTCTTTTGTGTTTCAATCCAAAGATTACTCTTCTGTCTCTGAGAAGGGCCTCATCGGATGGGAACGATGGAGGGGCAGCTGCCTAGGGGTTGTCTGGGAGCACCCTGATTTAAGTGGAAGGCCACTAGATGGCAACATGCACCAAGCTGTGGGGCCTTAGCCTGTGAGGACACTGCAAGTGCTTCTCCAGCTACAAGGTTGAATAGCTGAGGCAAGGTTTGAGCAGCCGTTGCTTCGGGTCCTTTTGAAAGTGAGGCTATAGGATAAACACACGGCAGTATATTGATGTCTATTCATCACCTGGTTGAGAAGCTGTGAGTCTGAAATTGCACCGTGTGACAGTGGGAGAGTTGCTTTCCAACAGCCTGTGATTGGGTTTATTTTCTTCGTGTGATTTATGGCTGGGATTACAACTTTCTCCTGTGTATTTAAAAACTTTCAGTTAAAAAAAAAAAAACTTGAAACACCTAAATCAAGGGTCAGAATCGTGATTTTTTTTTTTTTTCAAAAGAAAACAATCAAATCTCAAGAGAATGGCTGTCCCCAGGGGCCAGCTCTCTCTCCCTGGGTTAATTCGGGAGACTGCTTTCTCCTAAATGAGGGTGTGCATTTATCAACTTCCCTAAACTAGCAGCTCTTGGGGGGGTATTAAGATCCATGAGAAACTGTCCATGGGAGGCGACGTGTATGCTTTGCAGCAATTAAGCCATTAAGCCGTAATTGATCCTTTTCCCAATCAGGGTTTTGTGTAGGAAGGTTTGAAATTATTTCTGAAGCCACTGCTCCTTGGCCAGCTCCGACTCGTCCCCTGTGTTTCAGAGTCAGAACGCAGAGAAGAGGCCTGCCCTTTAGCAGATCCCGAGTTCGGCTTACATTGTCCTTTTCCTGTTGATTTCGTTCCGTTACAGATGAAGTGGAAAGGGAAGGATCTCTTCGACTTGGTGTGCCGGACTCTGGGGCTTCGGGAAACCTGGTTCTTCGGACTGCAGTACACCATCAAGGACACTGTGGCCTGGCTCAAAATGGACAAGAAGGTTGGGGCTGGCACTTGATGAATCCACCAGGGGTGGGTGTTGGCATCCATGTTCCCAAGAACAGGCTGCTAGCTCTCAAAAACAGGCATTGTGGCTCCCTGATCGAACAAGGGGCGATGTCCGGAACGAAGTCAGCAGGAAGCGGGGCCCAGAGACGCAGCTTGTTTTCTATTCCTCCAGGCAAACGGAATTCACTCCGATTCAGCCCTTGCCAGCCCTGGCTTTCCTACCCGTTATCACCAGCCCCAGCCTGATTGCTTTTGGCTTACTGCCCTCTAGTTTATTGAACCACTAATCAGGCTTTATGAATTAAAATTACTGTTATCTTCTTACATTTTTTTTTTTTAAAAACAATTCATGTCTTTGAAAGATTCTCCTGGGGCTCATGTTCTTTAGGGAATTTTTAGAAATCTCTGCGAGAAACACCATGGCCCAACTTGAATTGATTGTTAATGTGATCTAAGGAATAAAGAGCGCATGGTACAGTGGTGAAGACAGAATGTCCGTTTTGTGCTCAGGATTCTCTTGGGGTTTCCGGGGCTGGTAGTAAAATCTGGGCTCCTGGCAACTGTAATGCGGCACAGAAATGGATAAACCTTTGCATTTCTATAAAGATACACTTACCTGCTTACTGCCCTTCCCAGCTGCAGTGACAGCTGGGGAGCGGGGGGCTGCACGCTGTGTGTCAGTCTCTCCTACAAGACAGCTAAGTTTCAAAGTCAGTCGGTGTCTGATTCTGGCCCCCCCAGTACTTGCCCAACATGAAGTTATCATCTGCTGCTCAGCATGGTCAACAGTGAAGATCAGCAGCCAAGTCTGACTCTAAACATACGAGGCTACATCAAAAAGTTGGTGGAAAAAAATGGAATCAAAAGATCAGTTTCTTCTGGCACACAGATTTTTGAAATTCATGCATACGTGAAGCGGTGGTGGGGCGTGGTCGTTGAACAGCCTCCTGGTGATGCCTGTATCCCATTTTGCAGTACCTGCCTCCTGATTCCAACTTTTCTACTGATGCAGACCCTGGGAGGCAGTGGTGATGGCCCCATGTGGGGGACCTGGGTTGATTTCCTAGCTTCTGGGCTCAACCCCAGCCAGGGGTCCTCTGCAGACACTTGGGAAGTGAGCCGGCAGATAAGAGGGCTTGCACTCTCTCTTTCTGCCTACCGCATAAGTAATTGGTACAAGTTGTTCAGTGAAAATGCATTTAATGAAACAAAAACCTGCATGAATTTCAATATTTCTGGGCCAAAATAAGCTTATCTTTTAGTTACTCTTTTTTTCAATCAACTCTAAGTATTCTTCATGTACTGAAATCTCTGTGAGACCCCCTGCTAGGTATAAGTTTCAAATGATAATTCTTAAGGATGTGAGCCCTGAAGTACCACTAAATGCTGTTATGAGCAGGGGTATGCTGAACTGGATTTCTTTTGAATTTCCAGGGCACTGCCATGTAGAATTTGGGCAGGAACACGGAGAGTTATGTATCAAAGACAGCTAAAGTTTCTGTGCCCTTTTTAATGATTCTCAGCAAAGCGAATTTTAAATCATACTTGAGTGTTGGTTAAATGGATATTAGATCGGGGGCACCAGGAACCATGGAACTTGCTGCTCAGAGGAAATAAATGATGACACATGTTAATGGAGCCTGGTAGCCTGTCACATGGCATGTTTATGTCCTGAAATGAAATTCACTCTGCAGAGCAGATGGTCCAAGCTTTTCACAGGATAGATGGGCTTGGTGGAACATGAAAGGCAATGGTTTAACTGACTGTGCTCCCAGCACAGTTTTGGGGAGACATTTCTGGATATTCCTGGACAGAAAAAGTTGCCACAATGGACAGATTTCATGTCTGTTACCCAGTCCATCTTTAGATGTTTCATAAAGATCTAGCTCATTGGGCTTGGCACAGTGGCCTAGCAACTAAAGTCCTTGCCTTGAACATGCCGAGATCCCATATGGGCGCTGGTTTGCATCCTGGCAGCCCCACTTTCCATCCGGCTCCCTGCTTGTGGCCTGGGAAAGCAGTTGAGGACAGCCCAAAACCTGGGGATGCTGCACCTGCATGGGAGACCCGGAAGAAGCTCCTGGCTCCTGGCCTCGGTTTGGCACAGCTTCAGCCATTGTGGCCTCCTGGTGATGAATCATTGGATGGAAGATCTTTCTCTCTGTCTCTCCTCCTATATGTATATCTGCATTTCCAATAAAAACAAATAAAAATTTTTTAAAAAAGTGAAATAGTTAAGACCCTACTGGGGCCCATATGGGATGCTGGCATTGCAGGTATTGGCTTAACCTGTGTTGGCCCAACCCAAGTGGATTATTAAAAAAAAAAAGATCTAGCGCATCAAGTGTAAGGTCTATTTCAACCTAGATCTAAATGCTAGAAGTAGGCAGGCCGTAAGAAGAAACAAACAAAGAAAAAATGAGAGATTCCACTACTGCAGAACATTATAAAGCCTTCACCATGAAGGGTAATGCCCAAGACGTTTAAGCTGCACATTTCTAGTTTTGAACTCTGTGGCCTCAAGAACATTTGTGTCTTAATCTTAAATCAGACTCATCCTGTGGGTGTTGGTTAATTTGGTTCAGGAAGCACAGTGTGAAGTGAATATTACCTCTTGTGATATATGGCTTTGTGAATGCTTCCCCACTATAGAATCACAACCTTTGGGAACTGGGATGCATTTAGCAAGGAGAAGAAAAAAAAAGATTTTTAGACACTTGCCTGTGACAGGAAGAGGTGCCAAGCTAGCATGTTTGTCTTTTGCTCTGCAGGTGCTGGATCATGATGTTTCCAAGGAAGAACCAGTCACCTTTCACTTCCTGGCCAAATTTTATCCCGAGAACGCTGAAGAGGAGCTGGTTCAGGAGATCACACAACATTTGTTCTTCTTGCAGGTACACCAGTCCATGCTACCTGCCCAGCCCCTCCACCCAGCCCGCCCACCCCAGTAATCACCAGGTCTGAGCAAAGCAACGGGAGCTGACCCCAAAATTTGCTTTCCTGTTGCAGAAATGATCCGCCTGTGGATAGCCATCTCTTTCTGATTCCCTTTGTAGTGGGGAAAAAAAAAACAATTTTCCGAGAAAAATGTACTTGAGCGATGAGAATTGGTGTCAGATGAAATCACAAAGGTGTGAGAGTGAAGGGTGGGTACAAGTAGCTCCCTAACCTCTCTGAGGACGGCTTCTGTTTTCTTCTAGCTGACTTAAAAATGCTCAGTCACACAAGAAATCTAGAAAGTCCCCGAGTTCAAAATCTGCTCTCAGTGAAAGGGACCCGGGAACTCGGGGACACTGGCTAGGTTAATCTCTTGCATATGGCGCGTTAGATGTACTGCTTCACGCTCCCTTGGTTTGGAATGGGCTGATTTCTCCCTCGCTTAGGTCGTAAGCCCCTTAAAGGCGAGTCAGGCTCATTGAGTGCTCAGTAGACACTCCACCAAATAAGAAAATTGGGAGATCCGTAATCATAGGTTGGCCATCAGGGGCACAGGGTGGGAGGATTAGTCGAAGCATGGAGATATTGTCACCTCTTCTGTGTTTCTCCTGCTGGGTGAGAGCACCTCCCCCACTTCATACCTCGTTGTAGTGATTGGTCGGCTTCCTCTTTGTGTGCCCCCGTGGGTACCCACTGTCAGTGATATAAGGGACTGCAGTGGAGGTGTTAATTACTGTAAATCCCAGGAGTGCCTCTGTGGTCTCTCACAAAGCTCTCCTGTAATTAATTTGAGCCTTAGTATATTATGTTTAGCAAAGGTCAAGTAAAATGTGATAAAATCCATTAAATAACTTCTTGGGGGCGGGCAGTTTATTCTTATTTATTTATTTGCTTACTTATTTCCTCATTCGTACTTATTTGAAAGGTTGAGAAAGAGGCAGTCAGACAGATCTGTTTATTTGGTTCACTTCTCCAAATGCTTGCAACAAGCAGGGCTGTCTTTTTTTTTTTTTTTTTTTTTAAGATTTATTTTTATTGGACAGTCAGATATACAGAGAGGAGGCGAGACAGAGAGGAAGATCTTCTCTCTGCTGATTCACTCCCCAAGTGACTGCAATGGCCAGGCTGAATCAATCCGAAGCCAGGAACCAGGAACTTCCTCCAGTTCTCCCATGCAGAGGCAGAGTCCCAAGGCTTTGGGCTGTCCTCGATTGCTTTCCCAGGCCACAAGCAGGGAGCTGGATGGGAAGCAGGGGACTCTGGGATTGGACCCCGTGCATGCAAGGTGAGGACTTTAGCTGCTAGGCTATTGCGCCAGGCCCTATTTATTTATTTTCATTGGAAAGTTAGATATACAGAGAGGGGAGAGACAGAGGAAGGTCTTCCATCTGATAATTAGCTCCCCAAGTGACCGCAATGGCCAGAGCTCCAATAATCTGAAGCCAGGAGCCAGTAGCTTTTTCTGAATCTCCCATGCGGGTGCAGTGTCCTAAGGCTTTTGAGCCATCCTCAACTGCTTTCCCATGCCACAAGCAGAGAGTTGGTTGGGAAATAGAGCATCCAGGACATGAACCAGCGCCCACATGGTATCCTGGTGCGTGCATGGCGAGGATTCAGCCACAAGGGTATCACATTGGGTTAGGAACCTGGAATTCAATCCAGATCTCCCTCAGGATTGCCAGGGGCCCAGCTACTGGACGCATCACCCACTACTCCCAGAGTGTACATTTTCATCACTGGCTCGGATGCTAGACTCAGCAGACCTGGGGTTTGAACCCAGGCACCCTAAGTAGCATTTTAATCATTACACCAAAATTCATCCCTAAAGAAAACTTGACAAAAGAGATCTACTATAAATATGACATAATGGCTATTTATTTACATATATACACATGTATGGCAGATTTCTGCCATTTTCCATTAAAGGGAAAGCCCTTTTAAGTCTTCTGTACTGTGGCTTTCCTATATTCCTTAAAGACAAATAGGAACTTGTATTGCTCTAGAAATATCCCTGACTTCATTGGCTCCATAAGAGCGTGAAACCAGTTGTTAAACCTGGAAAGGATTTTTGTGTGTGATTCATTGCACCCGCACCAAGATCTCTTGGATCCCAGAATTTACAGAATTGGCTTTCTTAGGGATCCCCACAGTTGAAGCTGCCACCCAGTGCCAGAATCTCTGTGTGCGCAAGTTCAAATCCCAGCTGCTCCACTTCCTATCCAGCTTCCTGCTTAAAGGCCCTGACCTTTGTGACCATTCAGGGAATGAAGCAGAGGATGAAAGATCTGCCTGTCCCCTCTCTGTAGCTCTGCCTTTTACATAAATGAATAAATAAATCTTTTAAGGAAAAAATAATTGGTTCTATTGTAAGCACTTGGAAGCAGCGCCTGTCCCTTATGTGACTTTGGCTGGATTTCATTTCATGCTGAAATGGTATGGTGTTTTTGCCATTGAGCAAGGCAGAATTTACTGCATTTATGAATCTCAGGACTGTTGACACATGTGGAGGGAGTTGGCTGTCCTGTGGGATTTTGTTGTTGTTGTTGTTTGTTTGTTTGTTTTACAGAGGCCACCACTTCATGTACCCTCTCTTACTTCCACCTCTAGACCACTACGTGCCGGCACCATCCAGAGAAATTAAGTGCAATGAGATGTGTTAATTCAACATTATGGCTTAGGAATTATATTTCCTGGATCTCACATGTACTTAAAAGTTGAATCGATCAAATTTTATTGCTTCCTTTTTCCTTAGAGCAGCACATTGAAAGTGATGGCTTTTTTTTTTTTCCCCCTGCAGTCATAACTCAGCGGCCTTGGTGGCTTTTGTCTTGTTGTTAAGACCTAGAAGTCGACTCCATTTCCTCTAGTGCAGCTTGTGTGCAGCAGGGGCCAGGGCTGCAGTCAACCCCAGAGCTGTGTCTGACACTTCTCGCTGTCACAGCTCTCTGTGACTGCCCAGATGTCAGTATCTTGTAAGCGTGAGGATTTGGGTGTTTTTTTTTTTAATTCTTTAGCATTGTTCATGAAGAGATAAAGCGGAGTTCTTATGCAGAGTCATCTTACCTAAAGAGCTTGACAGGCGCCGAACCCTCAACCTGTCAGCAGTCGGTTAAAATACAACATTGTACCTTTTGTCGGAAAGTCATTAGCAGCCTGCTTTGGCGGAAAAGCAGGCCCTTGTTAGCACACCCTATGGCTATCCGCTGTGCCCAGCCTGCACAGTGCACATCCACACACACAAGGTGTCACATCTCTCCCGTGTTGTTGTTCCTTTTCAGGTAAAAAAGCAGATTTTAGATGAGAAGATCTATTGCCCGCCCGAGGCTTCTGTGCTCCTGGCTTCTTACGCCGTGCAGGCTAAGGTAGGCTCAAGGAGCAAGCATGCATTATTTTTTCTTCCTAGGCCTTCACTCATGGCACTGGATGGCTCCTGTCTTGGTTCTTTGGATTTTTTGGACATCAGCGGAGATCTGCCCCCTAAGAAAGTGTGATGTTAGGGGACTTGGGGAAAATCACTGGTGCTATCCCAACTTTGGTGTCATCTTGTGCTGTGTGTACAAATAAGTGTATCATTTTAATGAATTAGAATTCATTCTAGACAGGTTCTTTCTGAAAGATACATTTTCTGTGTAATTTCATTATGGACACATGGTTCATTACATTCCCTAGAACAAACTCTATTTATTAACCAGCAAATATGTGTTTATGGTGTCTAATTATGACTAAACAGGACCTGGGCTCAAAAAGACCCAGATTTCCCCTCCAAACTCATGGGAAACAGCTGCCCAGTGGGTGGGGCCCATGCCACACCACGCCACGCCACGCCACGTCGCGCCACGTCACACCTGCCCGCTCTGCATGCTGCAAATGCTGCAGGAGCTGCGGTCTCTTGAGCCCAGTTAAACTGTGTGGTCAACAGAGAATCACTCTCATTTGTTGAGTCCCTGCAGCCCAGGCATGGTGAAAGAGGGCACAGCGTTGCTCTTGTGTTTGTCTCTTCTGTTTTTATTAGACCAGAGCACAGTGCTTCCTGTCCCTCCGGTTTTCTGCTTCCATTCCGTACGTACCATCTCTCTCAGTCCCCCTGCTTCCTGTTATCCATCAACACGCGTAAGGAAGTCTGCAGAATGGGGACACTTGGATTATCTGTCTGATATTTAAAACACCAACTTCTCAGTTATTTTCCTTTTTAATATCAGGTATCCATAAAACCGTCTCTGCATAATGTTAGAAAAATTCATTCCATATTTATCTTAGAGTGCTTTTTTTTTTCTGGCTTCATACGCTTCAGATCAAAGCCAGGGAATACTTGACGTATCATTGGGGAGGAGATGGGGAAAGCTGTATGTACTGGATAGAGGAAGAGAAATTGACCAGAATCAATTTAATCATCTGATGACTAGTCTAATATTTGCTGAGTATTCACCAGGCCTGGGGGACAAGGATTGTTGACTCTGTCATTAGCATCATCGCTAAGGCAAGGATTTGCCCTCCGAGGTGGGCCCCCAGGTCACTGGGGCAGTCTTGGGGTGAAGCCAAGGCCAGAAATTCGTGGTTTGTGGGAGTTGTATTGTGTGCCTCTCCTGTTCTACTTCCCTGAAAAATGACTAATTGAGAAAACAGAAAAATGGGCCTTAATTCAACTAAAGACATATGCTTCCTTTGACTCTTTGATCAAGAATATTAGTAACGGGAAAAACGTGTCCCTTCAATCAGCATCGCCTTGACATTGATGAAGCAGTCTTTGTCACTTTCATTAAATCTGAGCACTCCCTGGCCTAGAGTTCCTCCTCGCACAATGCCTTCTCCCCTGGGGTGGGGAGGAGTCTCACCTCCTGAAGCACATCACCTCTCTTTGAAGGATTTTTGTCTGTCGCAAATGCTTTGCATAGAATTTGGGCCACAGATTCAAAGGCCACCTGTGGGTGGGGGAAAAAACAAACACTTTTCAGGGAACCAGCAGATGTTTGCTTAAACAGATTTCACTGTAAGGAAAGCCCTACTAATTTGGAGCCTACTAATTTAGAGATGAAAGTGATTCACAGACAGCATATGTGGTTCATATGGAAAAGGCTGTTCCTGTTCTTTCCGGTGTAAATTTTAAAGATTCTTTTTTTTTTTTTCTTTACAAATGAAGGTAATCCATGGCTTAATGTTTGCTTCCTGGGAACTACAGTTTGCTATAACATGTTTCCAGGTTCTAGAACTGCTGGTTAATATTAGAAGGATATCTCTGATAATGTAATTGTTACTGTTTCTAATGAGATCTCACACGCCTATCGCATTTACAGCCGTACAAAGTGTTACAACATGAATATTTTGCACCGCACTCAGTGTAGTCTTTTCTGGAAACCAGACCCTGAGAGTGTTAGGCCTGTGTTGCAGATGAGGAATTTAAGGCTTATGGAGGATTAATGATTTGTCCAGAGTCACAGTACTTTGATGTTAATACTGTTTTAAGGGAATCCACAGCCTACTTCTTGATGGAGAGGGACTTGCAGCAGAATAGAGACTGGAGCTGGCATGGGAACCTGCTGCTGTTCAGTCTGCCTGTGTCAGAGCTCCTGTCCCTCACTGAAGGAAACTGTTGGGAACAACCAAGGCCTTTCATTAAATTTCCGTTTCCTTTATGTGATCACATTAGTCCGAGCTTTTTTCAGCAAATCATATATCAGCTCCTTCCATTATATTCAGCTTGTTTTCTTCCACAATCTTTTTGGAATAGAAAGGAACTTTAGAAGTATGGAGGGGAAAGCCAATTGAGCTCATTAACACATGGAATGTAATTACACACAAGTGTATTCATTACAGTATTTCAGCTGTTTGAATGATATAGACACAGTTAATTCCAAAGCATAAAGAAACAATTACCCTCAAAGCATAAATACAAATATTAATCACATGGTTCAGTTAACAAGAACCATATTTCTTGGTCAGAGTTTGAGTTATGCTGGCATCAAAAGTATAGGCAGGGATTCTTTTGGTTCCAGTCACATGAAACAGCAAGCCATCTTGCAATGTTTAAGCCACCTGTTGGATTTTATATTGACAGTTTGGTGTTTGAAACATGTTCTTATTTAAAAAGACTTTGAGAGGAAATGGTATGTACTTTACAAATTATGTGGTGCTGCCTGCAAACTTCTAGTATTTGGATGAAAGAAAGGATGGAGGAAGAGGATGCTTAGTGTTTCTTAGTATTCTCTAATGCGGACAGAGACAGGGTGCCAAGCTGCAGTTAAGAATTGAGGGGGCTGGCATTGTGGCATACTGGGTAAAACTATCACTTCCAACACTGGCATCCCAGGAAGCACCAGTTCGAGTAACAACTGCTCTACTTCCAAACAAGCTCCCTGCTAATGGGCTGAGAAAGGCAGTGAAATGTGACCCATCCACGTAGGAGACCTGGAAGAAACTCCAGGCTCTTATCTTCAACCTGGCCCAGCCCTAACTGTTGCAGCCATCTGAATGAACTAGAAGATGAAAGATCTTGTTCCCCCTTTCTATGTGTGTAACTCTGACTCTCAAATAAACAGATAGATCTTAAAAGAAAAAGGGAAGAAAGAAATTGAATGCATGTGCAAACCTGGGATAGTTGAGGTTGGAGAGCTTTGCAGGGCACCAGAGTATAAATAGCTTTATCCTTGGTTGATGCAAAGCCAGTGAGTTATTTATATTTTACATTTTTGGTAAGATTTATTTTTAAATTTTTTTTAAGATTTATTTTATTTGTCACAAAGTCAGATATACAGAGAGGAGGAGAGACAGAAAGGAATATCTTCCATTCAGTGATTCACTCCCCAAGTGGCCACCATGGCCAGAGCTGAGCCTGTCTGAAGCCAGGAGCCAGGAGCCTCTTCTGGGTCTCCCACATGGATGCAGGGTCCCAAGGCATTGGGCCATCCTCAACTCCCTTCCCAAGCCACAAGCAGGGAGCTGGAAGGGAAGTGGGACTACCAGAACTACAACTGGTGCCCACATTGTATCCCAGTGCATGCCACTTTAGCAGCTAGGCTATAACACCTGGCCCTATGTTTTACATTTTAAAACATATCTTTTCATTGTATTTGAATGGCAGAAAGACAGATGGAAAGAGATCTCTTTGATCAACTGGTTCACTTCTGTACTGTCTGCAAGAGCCAGGGCTGGGTCAGGCTGCAGCTGGGAGCCTGGAACTCTATGTGCGTCTCCCATTTGAGCAGCCTGGACCCAAGTACTTGGGCTATCACCTTTTGCCTTCCAGAGAGTACATTAGCAGGAACCTGTATTGGAAACAGAATAGCCAGGACTTGAATCATCCCACACAGGTATCTCAGCAAGCTACTTGAACTACTGTGCCACAACCCTGCTCAGCGGTACGTGTTTTAGACATGAACTTTGGTAGCTGCTGAAGGACAGATTGAAGTGAGACACATTCAGAAACAAGGAGACCATGAGGAGGCTGTCATAGTCATCTTGGGTAGTGGCTGGTTGAATGTGAGAAGAATGAGTTTAAAAACACCCAAGAAGGAAAGGTTGATGAAATAATACCATGAGGATGCCAAAGTGGTGTGGCGTATCAGAAAAGGAGGTCACTTAGGGGCAGTGCCAGTTTGAGTGTTGGCTACTCCACTTCTGAGCCAGCTTCCTGCTTGGTACACCTGAGGGGCAGCACACGATGGTGCACAGGCTTGAACTCCTGCCACCCGTCTAGGAGATCCAGATGGAGTTCCCAACTCCTGGCATCAACCTGGGCTCTGCAGGTATTTGGAGAGTAAACCAGCACTTACAAGGCTGTTTCTCTTGTGAGTCTGCCTTCCAAATAAAGTGTCCAGGCAGCGTATGCAGTCCACGGTCTGCATATCCTTTTTTACTTTGCCTATCCTTTTACAAATTTATATATATTTGCTGCTCGGTATTGATTTTGAGATGTTGTAAATAGAGCTGTAGTTCATTGATTGAACTGCTGTATAGCAGCCACTGATGAATAAGCTTAGATTATTTTTCCATCCCCCTTCTGAGGGAGAAGCAAATTATTTCCACTTTTCCCCCATTATAAACAGTGCTCTACTGAAAATCCTTATACACGATTCCTTCCGTACATGTGCAAAAATTTGTTTCCCCTTAAGGTAGAAAGGAAGGTAGAATTGCATAGAATTGACAAAATATGCTCTTTAATACCAAAAGCTCTGTAAGTTTATAAGAAAAAGAGGAATGGTAGAAAAATGAACGCAAGGGGACAGATAGGCATTTTAAATAGCAGAAAACAAGAATGGCTCGAGAATACAAAAAGATGTTCAATCTTACTAGTAATCAGGAGAAAGAAAAATGAAAGTAACTCTTTACACCCACTAGATTGGTAGGGGTTACTAAAATGAATGACCTC